TCAACTATTAGATTATTATATTCACTTGATATTGTCTACTTGTATATTTCCATTGTTATTTAGGACTACAAGTGATCAGTCTCATATTGGCGGTCCGCACAGGATGTTTATATGCCAATAAAAGACTGATGAATTTCAATCCTAAACATCAATCGTAAAATACAAGTAAAACAACACCAATTGAATATAAATTTCACCTCTCATTACATAAACAGGTGGCTATTAGACCTTAGTTGTTAAGTGAATAACGAGATGATATTTGAAGCGAATGGTACTAAGTTCAAGTTCTAGAATGAACATCAATTGTGAGGTAGATGTACATTCAACTGACGAGTCCTAAACAGGACGAAACATGCATCAAACTAGATTTCAATACTAACCACTATTGTTTAATCTATTTCAAATGTAGATGTGATTATGTTCAAAGAAGGAATAGAACAAAAAGAAAGAAAAAAAAAGAAAAGTCATATCCATCTCCATAAAACATTCTATAAAAAGAAAGAAAAGAAAAACAGAAAGAAATTTACCACAAATTGGCTGCATGTAATGTAGTTTCATGATGTTTTAAAATAGATTAGTTTTATGGCTTATTTTTAAAATGGAAATTAGTCTAAAATGTTTTGTAAATTGTATCTTACAAAACTTTTATTGTACTAGTGATTCATCTTCATTGAAAGTTGTTGTTTTGTGGAACCCTTTATTTCATCGTTGTTTAGATCAAACAGTGTTGTTGAAAGGGCTCTCCAATTTAGTGGCCCGTGGTTCTGACTCCAATTAGATCGTATGAATGTTTGTTATTGCCTATCCTCGTATATAATCATCGACTTGAATCGCGTTAGTCAATGACGGAATTAAGTAAGTCAAATAATGAGAATGGACTTGTGAATACATATATTTTGTGTATGAAGCGAATAGAATAGAGAGAAGCGGAACGACGCACAGTGGAGATGGTGGGCAAGCCAACTCCGATTTAACCAAGCGTTAATCAATATTTATAGTTACACAAAAGTAAGTTACAGACATGTGATGAGTAATGGGATAAGAAATGTATACACACCTACGTGCTCATATAAAAACAGTCAAGATTGATAGAATAGAATGGGCTGTCCGAAAGCTAGAATAAGGTATATGGGCTTGACATAATAACCGACACTACAGTTTCATCTTATTATAGGACTATGATCCCGTACCAAAAGACGACTTCCAAGAAGTACGACGAAGCATCCAGAGGCCCTAAATAAGTTGAGGAGTTTCGGTTTAATTAGAATATGATACAGCTTCTTTAGAATATGAACACTGTATGATACTCATGGACTGTAGTATAACATGTTTCTTTGAGGATTGGTTGAATTATAATGTTGATATGTAAAAAAAAGCTAATATTGGGGTGTGTGCTACTTATGTTGACATAAGTAGTATATAATGTTAGTCGTCAACAGAAGGTCTGGCAGCAGAGAGACAAGAGGATCGAATAGTAACAAATGAAAACAGAATGAAATTTGTATGAAAATGCAAGAACAATGAAGTTTGAGTCATTATGAGACAATTGACGGACATTTTGCAAATTAAGTATTTACTGTTTGATTGTTAGATTTTACTAACAAGTCCTGTAATTTTGTGTGAAGTGCATTCGATTGTCTCCACCCGTGTTCTTGTTCACTACTATGTCTATAAATATTCATGATGTTCTGTACATTTTGATTTTTACCCAATAAGCACTTCTCTAGTCTTCTTTTGTCGTATGATTTACGACTATGGAGGTCTCTATATGTTCGAGTGTTGTAGTTGTATATCGCATTTTGCGTTAATCAAGTAGTGAACTTGAAAGAACCGAGGACTTTCGGTCTCGTGTGTGAATTCTTAACCTCTAAACTACTGACCCGACATCCAACTGTGTTAATGTCTAATTTCAACTAATTCATAATATTATTTGACCGTCTAGCATTATCTTTAGCGAAATACTACCTCACAACAGACATGGATTGAACTCCACTGGCCACGGTGATAGATCTTAGAAGATAGAATAAAGGAGATTAAGACCATTGAAGGAAGAATCAATAATTCAGTATACTGTTTTTACACTCAAAGGTTAAGGCTTGACTTGGTGGATAAGAAGAATCTTTGTTGTTTTTCATTTACCTTCTTATTGACGCAACTCTACACATTGTAATTAGGATTTCACCACTAGTTTCTAGTGAACTGAAGTGACTAGGACTGACTAGATGCTTTTGACTGACATTTATAACCGTTGAAAAAGTTAGGCAAGTTGATATTCAAAGATGAATTTCTTCAGTGATTTGCCTCCTTTCTTCGTTTACAATATAGATTTCAACAGTTAAGATCATGAGTCAATTGAAGCAGTGACCAGTGGAGTTCAACCGGGTCAGTTGTGAGAGAGTAACTCATCAATGACAATGATGGATGTGTCTCTCAATTTCGTGGATTAGTTGAAGTTAGACATTAACACCATTAAATGCAGGCTCAGTGGTCTAGTTGGTTAAGCACCTGATGAGAAACTGGTAGGTCCTCGGTTTGAATGTCGCGATGCGGGATCATGGATGCGCACTGCTGAGGAGTCTCACAATAAGACGAAACGGCCGTCCAGTGTTCCCAGGTTTTCCATAGTGGTCTAGCTTCAATTGACTCATGATCTCAACTATTGAAATTACTACAATCTTCACAAAACCCCTTCTGACACAATATGGATTCCCTTCATTTTTCTTATTAACCATTCACTAACAACATGCATAAAACAATAAGGAATTCTATAACACAATCATATTTTCAATGTTACTAATGATACTTCCCCCCCCCCGAAAAAAATAGGTCAACTTCGATTTCACTGAAACAACCGTTTTCCTCTTTTTTTTCTTTTCACTAAATTTCTTTTTTGACAAGACATTTTCAAAACAAAACAATTGAGAAGTTTTCTTTTTTCTCTTTTTCTCGATCTTTTTTTCTTTCCTATAACATACAAAACGAAATAGATTGGATACATAAGTTTTAGTTAAATTAGCAACAAAAAATGTTGTTGTCGTTGTTGCTGCTGACATTTTCGCTTAAAGTTTGAATAGAAGAAAGAATTACTAGACGACAACGATGACGACGACAACAACGGTAGTAGTAGTAGCAGCAGCAACAACAACAAAAACAAACAAACAACTAATGTTAATAGATAAGTTGACAATGATTTTTCATGTTGTTTCTTTTTTATGTTAAAGTCATATAACGGTCAGTTGTCAACAGATTTGTATATCTAATGATGGTAATGAGAGATTTGTTCAAGTATTCTATGACTATTCTATAACATAAATCTATATAACAAATCAGTTGTGAATGTACAAAGTATGTATTACATACATTGGGTGTTGTTTTACTTGAATCTTCCCACTTTTGTTTAGGACTGTAGTCTTTTATTGGCATATGTGTATTCTGTGCGGATTGCCTCGATATAGACTTAATTCACAAGCATCCACAACGCATGTTTCGTCCTATTTGGGACTTGTCTGCTGGATATACCTGCATCCTGATGTTGATGTTGACTCTGGGACTCAAACTTAGTACCGTTCGCTTCAAACACCATCTCGTTATCTACTTAGCTACTAAGTCCTGGTGTTGTTTTACTCGTATCTTACGATTGATGTTTAGAACTGAAATTGATCAGCCTCTTATTAGCATATGTGCATCCTGTACGGACCGCCTAGATATAGCCTTAAGTCACAAGTTTTTATATGGAAAGATGGATACTGACTAATATTGGAATCCAGTTTGACTCGCCTTTCGTCTTATTCGCGATTCAGTACTGGGTTCGAGTCCCGGAATGAACATCAGCTCTGAGATTCAGGTACATCCAGCTGACAAGACGAAATGGTCATCCTGGATTCAGCTGCTAGCTACCATTCATCTTTGCTTATAATGTAAATATTAGTTGGTTGAATGAGCAAAGGTATGATTTGGTTATATTACCAAGCCTATGATGATATAAATATTGATAAGTTATTCACAAATTTAGAAGAAAGTGTTTTAATTATTTTGTATGGAGTTGTTAATTCAGTTCACTATTGTGGTAAACCCTAGAGATTTATCCGGTAATCTACTGATTCGTAAAATGATTGTGGTATTTGATTATCGTATTGCTGCTACAGTAGACATCAACATATAGAAGAGAAAAAGCAAGATCATCAGATACAAGACAGAGCCATCAACACAATCAGACTTGGTGGAGGTGGAAACTTTCACATGTATAAACAGAATCATTGATAAACAAGGAGAATTTGATCCAGATATGATGGCAAAAGTCGGCAAAGTAAAGGCAGTATTTATTCTGTTGAAAAACATATGGAACTCGAAAAGGTTGTCAGCAAACGTCAAAATCAGAATATTCAATACATAAATGAACACAGTTCTATTGTACGGAGCTGAGACTTCAAGAACTATCACAACTATCACCAAAGAAGTACAGGTATTTCTAAACAACTGTCTACGTAAGATACTCATTGTCCATTGACCAGATATCATCATCAACAGCCTACTATGGAGGAGAACAAACCGGATTCTAACTGAAGAGGAAACTGAAAAAAAGACGTTGGAAGTAGATGGAACATATTTTAAGGAAATCACCAAACTACATCACGACGCAAGCATTAACTAGAAATGCTGAAAGGAAACGAAAAAGAGAAATGTCAAAGAACACACTGTGTTGGGATTTGAAAATAGGCATAAATAGGATGAATAACAACTAGAAAGAACTAGAGAGTATTACCTATTGCACTGTTGGATAGAGAAAACTAGTGGATGACTTATGCTCCTCCACAAGGTGTTACGGGACTAAGTAAGTAATGTCATACATTACAAAATAAGTAACTTGACAGCAGTCATTCTACATAAATATCTGAATACGGTTACACCGAAAAGGTAACATCATTTATTCTTGAATTATTACTCAATTATTGCCTTCTTTACACCTATATGCTTGCGGCTTCTTAAAAAAGAAAACTAGTTTACCTACTTAAATGATCGTAACACACTGCCATTTTGATCTCATTATCATCATCATCATCATCATCATCATCATCATCATCATCATCATCATCATCATCATCATCATCATCATCATCATCATCATCATCATCATCATCATCATCATCATCATCATCAAAGAGTAACTTGTCGCCGACTAGATAGATTACAGAGGTTACAATTGAATATTCAAGTACTATTCGAGGAATCAGTTTGTGAAAATCTACTTCAAAACATAATTTCTCAATCCATAACATTACGCCTGTTACTCCCAATGGAGCATAGGCCGCTGACCAGCATTCTCCAACCCACTCTGTCCTGAGCCTTCCTTTATAGTTCGATCCAATTGTTGTTAATTCTTCTCATATCTGTCTCCGATCCCCGGCGTAATGTGTTCTTGGGTCTTCCTCTCCTCATTTGGCCATGAGGATTCCAAGTGAGGGTTTGCCTTGTGATGCAGTTCGGTGATTTCCTCAATGTGTGTCCTATCCACTTCCAACTCTTGTTTCTGATTTCTTCCTCTGCTTAGATCTGGTTTGTTCTCTCCCACAGTAGGTTGTTGTTGATAGTGTCTGACCAAGGGATCCTAAGTATTTTGCGTAAACAACTGTTAATAAACACTTGTATCTTCTGGATAATGACTTTTGCAATTCCCCAAGTTTCCGCCACATACAATAGAACTTTCCTGACATTTGTATTGAAAATCCTGATCTTGGTGTTGACTGTTATATCCTAGCTAAGATTAAACTACGAGTAACTCCTGAAACCTAATAATGAACTAATATTATCTATATATTCCTGCTGTATAACTAGATTGTGTTTATCTATATCCGTCTTATTATAAGCTTCATTTTAACCTATAGATTATTATTGTACAATGTATTGTTTTTAAGTTATGCCTAGTCTGTTGATTACAGTCTCCCTTGTTCACAGCCAATTTCGGCTATATTTTGTATGAATGTTATTTCCTATTTTATGATGCGTTGCGGTCTGTTTGGCTGGTATATAAACCAAGTATGTTTGAAGTAAGTGATTCGTATAGTGGAAGCTGGTATTGGCATTCTGAACTCAACTGGAATGACTAGGAGAACAAAGGACCATTAAAGACTCTAGTCTGTTCATACTGGTCGATACATCATTGCTATGACATAGTGTTAAGATTATATAAGTTATATTTTGATTGACGAATAAATCACTTGACAACTAGCCAGGCTTAAAGTCATAACAATCTCCATTAGAAAAAAAAATAGAAAAACAACACTCCAACGGAAATATTACAGTTATTGACATATTTTCCATCTTTTCTATCCATCGGAGGAAATAACAAACAAACAAACAGTTATTGTAGGTGAACAATTAGTGTCGGACAATAACTTGTTAAAATGTATATTACATATGTACTATTGATTAGTTACCATGTAATTTATACTATAAATTAATTCTTTATTTTAAGTACATTTATAGTATTGATGAAAGTAGTAACTATGATTAAGAATAAATTTTATGAACATTACATTTGAATCCCGCGAGGCGGAGTCGTGGATGCGCAGTGTTGAGGAATCCCACAATGGGACGAAACGGCCGTCCAGTGCTTCTAGGTTTTCCATGGTGATCTAGCCTCAATTGACTTGTGATTTCAACTGTTGAAATCATTACATAACTATTGAAGAGTCCCATAATAGGATTGATAAGTCTTGTTAATTGAACGTCTAGATTCAGTTCTTATACTCTTCTAGTTACCACTCAAGCTAGAACTAAACAGCGACTTCAACAAGTGAGAAAAACCGCGAAATATGAAAGATCCGCTTTACTCTAAAGGTTCGTTTTTATACAGAAAATCTAGGGTATTTATGGTATTTTAGATGTCCTTTGGTTTTCCCGAAAAATTCTAGAATGCTACTAAATATAGTAGCAGTATGGGTAATCATACTATCACAAACTCGATGTGTGACTTTTCACTTCTTAGATGTTTCTGTCAAAACTTCTACTGAACGCTGATTGGATAAGATACTTCTCAGTGTATTCAGAGCTTTTATTGACTTTCTTTTTCAAAAGGTTTTCTGGATCTCCTTAACAAGGACGAAACGTCCATCCAATACTTCTTGGTATTTCATAATGGTCTAACTTCAATTGATTTATAAACTCAACTATTGTCTTATATCTATCTTGATTAATTTCACACAATATATGCTTCTTAATTAAGATATTGAAGAATCCATCGTTGACCACTGTCTATCAACTTTGTATATTTATTATTAATTAAGGTTACTTTATGTTCGTTTCATATTAGTGATATAAGGACCAATAGAGTTTAGAGAGCATTGAACACTTAGTTCTTCCAATCTCTGTTTTACTTTTTATAAAACCTTATGGTCCTTCCCTACTTTCTACATGTTGGAGTCAAGTTATCTACGAACTATCTTTAGTTGCTTAGAACAAGGATATACTTTTAAACGTATATATATACATAATGACGATGTTCACAATTGATTGATCACTGAGTGGTGGATCAATTTAATGTATGCCAGGTCCTACTTAGCTCAGATCGAATCCTATCGACCAAGTTGTAACGTGTCCAATAGTCTGAGTGACTCGACATTGCGTGCACTATGTTGAAATAGGATGGTGTTTGGAAGTAGTCAACAGGAAACCCTGGACCCAGATTTCGTGTTATTCGGCACCGGTCAGCAAAGTGTATCAGTAATCTTGAGGGAACTGGTGCTCTCAGACAGATTTGATCCTGTGTCACCCAGCTTCACAGTTAGAGACATTACCATTGAGCTATCTGGGCCGCGACCGACCTCTTGTAGGACTAATACAATTTACTATAATCTTCATTAACTGTCATTTTAACATTCCTTAGCAATTGGATAAAATACACTTCTATGACTTCTTTAAACTAACTTACCAAATGAAAGACAAAAGTAAAGAGAAGAAAAACAACGAACTAACTAACTAACTAACTACAACTGTTTAAATTATGTAAAAATCAGTAAAAGTTTCATTATTCTTATAAGATTAAATGAATAAATGAAGAAATATAGATAAATCACTAAAAGGTGTAATAATGTAAATGTCTATACACATATACTAAATCACATGTTTTTATTCAATCAGCTGCTCCACCCCCCCTCTGTTACCCCCATCACTCCCACCACCACCAGCGCCACCACCACCTCTCCCCTACCCGATCTTAACCACAAAACTACAATAATAAACATTCTAGTATTATTATTATTATCACCATAGTGAAATCATTTCAAACCATCTCAGTGGAATGAATACTATACAGAATTACAAATCATTATGATATTGAATAGAATTGACGACTAAAAATAACCACAGCAACAACAACAACAACAATCACACTAATGTTTATTTAATACAAACTGATTATGATTATTATACACAGTTGTTACATTTTTGTCATTTAAGAAAAGAAAAGAAAATCTCTTTGAATGCATTCAAGATCATTTTCTCTTCTTTTTTTCTTCCTTTTCTTCTTCTTTTTCTTCTTTCTTTTTCTTTCTTTTTTTTGCGTTTACTTACTGGTTTACACACGGATAAAGTTTATGAAATAGAAAGTGAATTGTCTATTGAATAAACTTGTTTAGATTAGCGAATATAAATTCAGATTTTTTAAAAGCAGAGATAGATAGTGATTAGTAGTGGAATCAAGGATGCGAGTTTCATCCTCTTTGGGACTCGTCAGTTGAATGATTTTTATTATTCTTCTTATAAAAGTTGTCCATTGTGTGTTTTTATACGGAAAAAGAAACAGTTATGTCGTTTAATAGACATTTTATTAGTACGATATTTTGATCATGTACAATGAGTACCTGTAACTTAGAGTTGATGTTAAATTCGAGGGAGTCGAACCCAGTAACATTCGCCTCAGACGTTATGCACATACATTTAGCTGACAAGTAACAAAAAGAACGAAATACTTGTCCTGTATTTCATTGCTAGCCACTATCCACTACGCCTGGAGCCTCTGTAGGGCTACTGCCAGTCCCAAGCCCGGATAAAGGAGGAGGGTTGGGCATGGGATTAGCGATCCCATCCTGTAGAAAACTAAATCATTAAAACAAACGCTACCCAGAAAAACTTATTCAAACCATTTTAAATCTGCCCTGAGAGTTAGAAGGTCTTCATTTAGACGAGTTATGACGCCTCATGGTGAAAGCCGAGTTCCTTCGGAAGTCACGAGGATGATGCCCATTCTGATAACCGGAGCAACCATCAATTTAGGTACATGGAATGTTCGTACAATGTGGGAGACCGAGAGAGTCTTCCAAATCACTGCTGAACTATCCATCTTTGCTAAGAATACTTGTCAATTAAGATAATATCTAGGCAATATGCAGAGTATGCACATATGCCAATGACGGACTGATCAATTGCATTCCTCAATATCAATGGGAAGATTCAAGTACACAGTATCAAGTGAATCCATTCTTTTTTCTTTAAAAAAATTGAATTCTAACTTTTACTTCATAGTTCATGTGTCTTAATTATTTACTGATGATACTTACTTATTTACTTACTTACGTCTTTTACCTCTCGTAGAAGAGCATTGGTCGCCCATCAGCATTTTGCATCCAACTCTCTGCTGGAGAATCCTTTCCAATTCTTTCTAATTTCTATTCATCCTTTTCATATCTGCTTCCAATTCCTGACATAGTGTGTATTCTTTGACCTTCCTCTTTTCCGTTTCCATTGAGGATTTCAAGTTAAAGCTTCCTTCGTGATGTAGTTCGGTGATTGTAGTATTTTAACACTTGAATTCATGAGTTGATTTAAGTTAGATCATCAATGAACACCTAAAAGTATTAGAATCTTATACTAAGACGAAATGATTGTCCAATGTTTCCATGTTTTCAATGATATTTGTAGATCTAATCGATTTGTGACTTTGTTTAACCTGAATTTTGTTTAGCTTTCATTATTCCTCTAATCAATATTAGTTTCTTAGAACAAGTTTGTTAAAAATAATACATAGTTACCATATTAATCAATTGTCGAACTTGTGACGATACGTATGATTCCATACTTACTTACTTACGCCTGTTACTCCTCGTGAAGGAACATAGGCCGCTCACCAGCATTAGCCATCCAACCCTGTCTTGGACAATCCTTACTAGATCCTTCCAGTTGTTACTCATCCTTTCCATATCTGCTTCTATTATCCGACGCAATGTGTTCTTTGGCCTTCCTCTCTTCCTCTTCCTTTCAGAGTTCCAAGTTAGTGCTTGTT